TCTTTTTTTGTGTCTTTTTAGTTAGCGATTTCACAACTAGTCGTAAAAGATCCTGATAACGACTATTACGACGACCACCCGTTTTATCATCTTGAGATCAATCCACAATTCAATTAAGGAAAATTTTTCCTTGGTCGCAGCCTCGCATTATTTTTTTTGTTAGGAACAAAGTAGGTCCTTTTTCTCACTCATTATTACATTCTGGCTTACAAGTTTTCTTGAGAGAAAAGAGTTTGTTTTAATCACCCAAAACTTTAAAAGTTTTCCCCTATTTATTTCCTGTAAAGTTCTTCTATATCTTTCACTGATTATCACCACGTCTTATTACACACCCACTCACCTTTTAATTCCTATCGCATTCCTCATCCAACTCAGTAAAGAAAACATTGAGATACAAGAAGAAACCCCCTCCTCTCCCCAAGAAATTATAATAACATCAAGAATTGAAAATGTCGCACAACGGTACTTCACACCAAACCACATCATCAGACACAGAGTATCATTCTGATTCCGAGCACCGTTCTAACTCGTCTATCTCTTCAGTCGAGGAAGAAAACCACGATTCTAATAAAACTAACGGTGAACATGAAACCGAACATGAAGCAGAACAAGAAACAAATCATTTACAGCCTGAATATCGAGAACTTAATGAAACATATTCAGGAGACGAGAACAACCAAAACCAAAAAACATCATCATCAAGTGTTTCGGCTCTCTTACAGTTTCCTATTGTGGTCGATTCATTAAATTATGTCAAAGATTCGAAATATGGAGGAATGGCGGTTAATTACGCTGGAGTTCCTATTATTAATACGGTTTCAAGAATAACCTCTCCCTTCCAATCACAAATTAATCAAATCGATGACATAGCCGCTAATTCTATTAAAAGTATTGGTGAGAAAGTTCCAGTTATCATGAAGCCGACAAGTGAGGTCATTGAAACAGTGAAAACTCCCGCAATTCAAACCATCGACACTGGTAAACAATACATCTCAAATGTTACAACCCCGGTCTACACAATCGCATCAAATGTCGGCGAGGAAATTGATCAACGTCTCGCTAAACCAGCGAAAAATCTGGCTCAATCTATGCAAGCACAGATCACGCCAATCGCCAAAAACGTTGATAATAAGTTTGAACCTTTGGTCACAAAATATGCCAGGATCGTTGATGCATATTTACCAGAAGATGAATCAAGCGACAAAGAGGAAGAATCGGAAGATTCCTTTCAATTGCACCAGGCTGTTCGCGCTTTCAATACCACGGCAAAAGCCCACCGTCGTGTTTCAAGAAGCTTAAAACGTACTCTCACTAAATCTCAAATTTACACCTCCGAACAACTTCATCAATACACTATCTTCGTTAAAGCCACCGAAACTATTAATCAACTGCAAGCTAAATTACATGAAGTCTTTCTATTGACCAGAGAGACCGTTCAAAGTCCAGATTTCGCAGTTAAAATCAATGCTCGTCTACATGAGATTGTTGGATGGTTCGTAGGAGAATTGGATAAAGAGAAAGATCTCCCAAGAGCGTTAAAAGATCGTGCAAATGATTTTTCTAACACTCTAATCACCACGAGAGATTCGATCGCTCTATACATAAAAGAAAATGCAACTCATGTGCCAGAAGAGATACAAAAACGTTTGAAGCCATTGTTCGAACATGTTTCTGAACATGTCTCTGAACATTTTAATTTTGTTGCTGAACATGTTTCTGAACATTTTAATCATGTTTCTGAACATGTTAATCAGAACTATCCGGGAATTGCTGAAAAAGTAAAGAATCTCGCTGAACCCGTAAAAGCCAGAGTATTGGGTGTCAATTAATTTATGCTAGTCGATCAATCAATCGATTCAATTGATAACTTGTGTGTGCTGTAATGTAATGAAGACAATATTGGGCAAAATTGGTTGGCTTGGTTTTTATCTGTTATTTAGTGAAGATTCTCGAATTG